CTAAACACTGTCCACACGTTGCGTGAGTTTAAAAATTATTTTGGTAAAATATGCCATAATTTTTATTAATATTTAATATAATTATTAGATCTAGAAATTAGGTCACTATTAATTATATAAATTATGTTTTTATTATATACTATAATTATCTCGATTCTCGTAGTTGACAAAAAAAAAAAAAATTATCTCGATTCTCTTTCGTATCAAAAGATTCGGGAAACCATTAGATTCAAGGATCTCTTGACGTTGAAAACACCCATGGGATCTCCACCGTTGATCGATATGACTTTTTATTTTATCCCCTTACAGAGTCAATCTGATTAATTAAGAAAAAAAACTTATAAACAAAAAAAAAATGGCGAATCGCGGAATATAGAAATTTAGAACCGGAGCCATTGGAGACGAAGGATGTTTCTGAACAGAGTGTAATAACAATTGCATCGAAGAAGAGAAGAGAGGGATTTCTGGATTTTTGTGTTTGTTGTGGGAGAGATAAGCCCTAAGGGGAGAGACATGATCAGATGCTCGTAGATTAGAGAAGAAGAAGAAGAAGAGCATTATTATGATGAACAACACTTCCAATGGAGGAATGATCTCCGTTCCTTCTTCTTCGGCGGCGGCGAACACTCAGTCTCCGGGAATCAAGACGTATTTCAAGACTCCTGAAGGTAAGTACAAGCTCCACTACGAGAAGACGCATCCCTCTGGTCTCCTTCACTACACACATGGCAAAACTGTCACTCAGGTGAAATGCTTTGATTACTTCTTCTGAATATCCCTTCTCGATTCGCTGAATTGAAGTTATAATCCATTGCGTTTGGTTTTGTGATTGCTATGTGGATTGGGAGATTTTTCATTTCTGATTTAACTTTCACTTGTTGAAATTTGAATCCGGATGCATAGGTTAGTGGGTAGAGAAATCGCTGTTTCACTAGCGTTGCTCACTGTTGAATTTAGCGAGGTTTTGCGTATGAATATCAGATAGGCATTTCATTTGTGTGTTATGAAAAGTGGTTTATGAGGATGGATTTGGGGAAATTTCTCCGTGTCAGGTTACTATAGCTCACCTTAAGGACAAACCTGCTCCATCGACCCCTACTGGTACCTCGTCAAGTTCCAGTGCTAGTAGCGGTTTCCGGTCAGCAACAGCAAGGTTGTTGGGTGGTGGGAATGGTAACCGTGCGCTTAGTTTTGTTGGAGGCAATGGAGGGAACAAAAATGTGAGTACAAATGCAAGAATTGGTGCCTCATTCACTGCTTCCAGTTCTAGTACCTTGGGTACTAATACAAATTTCGATGGGAAAGGAAGTTACCTAGTCTTCAATGTGGGTGATGCTATTTTTATATCTGACTTGAACTCACAAGACAAGGTATTTTACTTCTACTCCTTTGATTTTCTTAAGATTTGACTTGGTGTGCTGGTTTTGGTCCTTTTAGTTCAGATAAAATCTTTGATGTAGGATCCAGTAAAGTCTATACATATCAGCAATTCAAACCCTATGTGCCACGCGTTTCATCCAGATGCTAAGGATGGACATGATCTACTTATTGGGCTGAATTCTGGGGATGGTAATTTAAAACTTTGAGCTCAAGTTTGTTACTTCTGTTCTAGATGGGAATTTGTCTTGTTATTTATGTTTTTGGTGAATTACTGTAGTTTACACCGTATCACTAAGACAGCAGTTACAAGATGTCAGTAAGAAGCTTGTTAATCCCCAGCATTATAACAAAGATGGTTGTGTCAATAACAGGCAAGACTTCTTTTCTGTAAACTTTTTTTTTCTCTCTCTTTCCTCCACTGCTTTCCTGTTCTAGTATATTTTTCTGTGGTTCACATTTGTTGGTGTAACGATCATCAGCATTCTCACTTGTTAACAGCCGCTGTATAAGTATCGCTTGGGTGCCTGGAGGTGATGGAACCTTTGTTGTTGCTCATGCCGATGGAAATTTGTTCGTGTATGAGAAGGCAAGCTCAGAAATCAGAAATCGGAAAACAAATTCTTGCATTTGACTTTTCATTTACCTAATTTTGTCTAATTTATGACCAGAATAATTATTATACTTGCAGAATAAAGAAGGTGCAACTGATTCTTCATTTTCTGCTATAAGAGATCCTACACAGTTCTCAGTAGACAAAGCAAAATATAGCAAGGTACCTGAGTTTGGTAGTGTCTTCATATGTTAATTTCTAGGATTTTATGTGTAGCTCTGGCAGAATGAGAATATTTTTTTCTGTCTTAATTTTTTAATCATATACCATTTGTTCACTCCAACAAATATTTCTGCAGAGTAATCCAGTTGCGAGATGGCATATTGGTCAAGGTTCAGTTAACTGCATTGCATTTTCAAATGATGGAGCATACTTGGCAACTGTTGGAAGAGATGGTATGATGGGTTTTTTGTTTTATCGCTGGCTTCAACTCTTTCTCTTGACCATTCGTTTTCTTATTTGACCATGTACAGGTTATCTTCGAATTTTTGATTTCTCAACCCAAAAGCTAGTGTGTGGTGTAAAAAGTTATTATGGTGCTCTACTGTGTTGTGCTTGGAGGTGACTCGATCTAAATCCTTTGACAAATGATCTTCCTTATTTGCATTTGAAGGAAAATAATTTTCTGAGTCACTTTTCGTTCACTCAGCTTGCTTTTATCATGGAATTGCTATTGTATACTAATATTGTGATCGGCTTGACAGTATGGATGGAAAATACCTTTTGACTGGAGGTGAAGATGACTTGGTTCAAGTATGGAGTATGGAAGATCGAAAGGTTGTGGCATGGGGTGAGGGACACAATTCGTGGGTATGGTTTTAAAATTGGAGCATAGTGAAGGAACACAGACAATATTTGACTAATGTGAAATGCATTCTCACAGGTAAGTGGAGTGGCATTTGATTCGTATTGGTCGTCGCCAAATTCAGACGGGTCTGGCGAGAATGTCATGTATCGGTTTGGTTCCGTTGGTCAGGTATTCAGTTATGCTGCATCCATTCTTCTGGGTTCTCCTTTCTTTTATGTGATGCCAACTAAACATTTGCTTCAACATTTAGAGTTTTCCTAGAACTATTTCCATTAATTGAACTATGTTAATACCTTTCCTGCTCCTCTGATTCGTGGATATTTAGTTAGGATACAAGATTGTAGAATGATTCTAGTGTAGGACCGATAACAAATGAGAGAAATGAGATGAATTGTTTTAATGGGAGTTTCTTTTGATCATATGAGCTGATAGCAGCATTGTACATATGGCGTGGCATTTGCCAGATTACGAGCATAGAACCGTTAATCTGCTTGGTAGAAATCTGTTAGAAAGTGAGATTTTCCATTGTCTTGCCATGCCCTGTAGAAGTTGTGTTAATACTTCGATCGTCTGTTTCTTCTCCTTTGATCATCTAAGTTTTTTTTTTGGCTCACCTTTTATGTCTTTAATCTCTCTGCTTGTGCCGAACAGGACACACAGTTACTGCTATGGGACTTAGAAATGGATGAGATTGTAGTTCCACTTCGGCGACCTCCAGGAGGATCACGCACTTACAGCACGGGAAGTCAGTCCGCTCACTGGGACAACGTCGTTCCAATGGGCACTCTTCAGCCAGCGCCGTGCATGCGTGATGTCCCAAAGCTTTCACCAGTAGTTGCTCACCGTGTTCACACCGAGCCCCTCTCGGGATTGATCTTCACGCAAGAATCAGTCATAACGAATTGCAGAGAAGGCCATATAAAGATCTGGACGCGACCAGATACCCAATCCAACAGCTGTTCAGAAACAAATCCAACCACAAGCAAACCTTCACTGCCCAGCAAGGTCGGTGGTTCTAGTTAAACTCAGTCACCATTTGAAATCATATTGTTTCAGGTCTGGATTACGAAACGAAACCCTGTGAATATCTCTCATGGGTATCCCCTTTACGATAACATCGAGCTGATTCTGAGACATTTATTTCTGGAGATTGATGATTAACTGGGTTGGAGACGAAATAGAGTAAAGAGAGTTTTGGGATGTAATTAAAAGAAAACGGCTCTTTTGGACATTAGGGTTTATATCCAACTTCCAACAAATACTAACCAAGAAAACAATAAATTCAAGATTTGTGCTTCGGAAGAAGACGAGAGAGGCAGTGTATTTATTCTTCTTGCAGTTACAGAGACTACTGCAGTAGACTTAAGAAAAGAAAAAAATCGTATTTTTCTTGTTTAAACTCTGACTTGGTCCTTGAATTACATTTGGAATTTTGGCGGCTTTTATTTACATATGTTTAATCTTTCAAAACCTGTGTCTGTCTATCACTCTTTTGTTTGTTTAGACTTTAGACTCTCTTTGATATTGTTATTTGTGAAAATGACATTTGTATATTTAAAGAGCAGTGACATTTTTATATTCAGTTTTTTTTTGTTATTTAATCCTCTTCATGTCATCATGGAGGATAAAACATATAAATCATAACCACTGTAGATTAAAAAAAAAAAGTATATTATCTCAAACTTTTAGCAAGTCTTTTAAATTTTAGCTATGGAAATAAATTAAAACGAGGCAACACAATTTGATTTCATTGATTGTTTTTCCAGAGTACACAAACACATACACATATCAAAAGTATTACAGCACAACGAAACCAGAAACTGGGCAGGAAAACAGGGCATAGTTTTTGTTTTTTTTTTCCTCAGAAAACAGGGCATAGTTTGTAATACCAAAGTTGCAAATTTTTACATACATAATAACAATAACAAACAATCATTTTTTGAATTGTTGTTACTATTATTGTTATTTTTGTTGCTAAATTCAAACGTTGGCCGCACTTCTGAAGGAACCGAGAGACTTGGAACCAGAGGCCCTTAGGACGAATTGGTGATAAAATGCAGCAATCGCAGCTCCAATGAATGGTCCGACCCAGAATATCCACTGTAAATAGTGCAAAAACATTCCATTATTCTCTCATTAAGCAATAAAATTATAATTTGATTTAGTTTCAATCAAAGAGAGATAGAAACACACGTGGTCATCCCACGGCTTGGACTTGTTGAAGATAACGGCAGCTCCAAAACTTCTGGCCGGGTTAATGCCGGTTCCGGTGATCGGAATAGTAGCCAAGTGTACCATAAACACCGCAAATCCAATCGGAAGTGGCGCCAAAACCTTTCATTTCATTATTCACAACCAAAAGTCAGTCGAATTATATCATATAATATTAACCATGTTAACTATAGTTGAAATCAATCCGATAACAAATACTAACGGGAACGTGGGAGTCACGAGCGTTGCGTTTGGGGTCAGTGGCGGAGAAGACAGTGTAGACGAGGACGAATGTTCCGATGATCTCCGCGGCGAGTCCGGTACCTGTGTTGTAGCCGTCGGCGAGAGAGTTGGCTCCTCCACCGTAACGAACGTAGTAAGAGCTTTGAAAGGCCTTCACGAACCCAACTCCACAAATCGCACCCAAACACTGAGCCACCATATATAGCACCGCTCTAATCAACGATACCTTCCGGGCCAAGAATAAGCCGAACGTCACCGCCGGGTTTATGTGACCACCTTCATAAAGTATTGGGGTCAATTTTAAAAAAGGATACGTTTTGTAGTTAAATTCGCAAATTAATAAAGTTCTGAATTAGACCGATTCGATATATCGTACATGTTTTAAAAAAATTCGTACCACCAATTTATAACGATTTATAAATAGACTAATCATAGACTTGTTGAGATAGTGATATATACCTGAGATACCGGCGGTGCAGTAGACGAGTATGAAGATCATGCCGCCGAAAGCCCAAGCGATGCCGAGGATTCCGACACCGCCGCAGTCAACTCCACCGGCGGTTTTGTCGGACTGAATCTTGTAGCCGATGACAGTCAAAACGGTTACGTATAAGAAGAGGAGAGTGGCTACGAACTCGGCGATAACGGCTCTGTATAAAGACCATTTTGTTAGCTCCTCCGCGTCGAAAAACGGAGTAGGCGCCGGATCTTCATAGTCCCTCGCCGTGAATCCCTCTGCTCCTTCGCCTTTGGCCATTTGTATATTTTCTTATTGAGAAAATTGTGGTTTTGGTTATGTTTTGTGATTGTGAAGAGACCAAGAAAGGTTGTTTATATAGAGTGGGTTCTTAGTGAATGCTATTTGTTAGTTTTGCACACATTTTAATAATAATAATTGTAGGCTATACG